CTCACACATGTTCAGTACGATACAGTGTCCCTACATACATCCGCTGGTCATGCATGTATCCGAGACAATGGATCCCTTGTACCTATGCGTTGCGGGCATCTGCCCGCTCTAGGGGCGGGGGAGTTCTGACGAACGGCGGGGATACCGCTGGGCGTACTCCTGACCGCAGCAAGAGGCGGGTCCCAGGGACGCAATCGTACCCATTGGGCGGCAGGTTTGCAACCCGTACCCTAGCCTTCAATGGCCAAGGGTGGACAGGCGGCCACAACGCATAGGTACTGCGCCCTGCTACTCACTATTCCACCACTAGTGTACCCTTGCACCCCTCCTTCCGGTCATCGCCTAGCACTTCCCCTTGCCCCGTTCGCCACCGCTACTTCCCCACTACACCCCCCTAGTTAGCTCGAGCCTTGTGCTCACCATGTACAGCCGAACACCCACTTCTTACTCACGTCGATAGTGTTTGTAGTTTAAGGCCTACCATGAGGCGCGGCCTCGCAGGGCAATAAACGGGATCTAGAAAGAAAGAAAGTACTGTGTCGCCCGAACTGTCCGCTACAGGGTCGGCTCAAGCGGAACATACCTTGACCGCATTGGGGACGACTCGACATGGACTGGGCTCACCCACCGTAGGCGCCCCGTGCAGGCTCGTAATGGAGTAGCCCTCGCGGAATCAGTATAGAGGGGTCACCGCTTCTCGTCCCGTGCAGCCGGTTGATGTCTCTTGTCTTCTGTCTGTTCTGCTGCCAGTGTTCTCTTATACTGCGCAATCGTGCCTGGCATGCATGCATATTGCACAGATGGGATCTCATCCATATGGTACACAGCCCAACCCCGCACAGCGAAATCGAATGTTGAACACTCCGCGCTCACGATCTACCCAGTCCAGCCCTTCGGCTATATGTTTGCAGTCAGTACCCACGGATAACAACCTAGCACGCGTGACGCAAAGCTCTCACCTTCACCTCCTCCCCAATGTTTTTAACGAACACGGCCGGCCGCTCCGCAGTCTTCGCGCCCTCCTCGCCCTCCTCCCACGTGTAGCTAACGCCGACGGCAAGCTTCGTCCCATCGCAGTTGAACGCGATCGATGGCACGGGAGAGTGGTATTTGGGGTACTGCCGCAACCGCTTCTTGGACTTGTGGTCCCAAATCGAGACTGTGCCATCTGAGCCTGCGGAGGCGAACGTGTTGTAGCTAGATAGAGGTGCGCACGGACGTCAGCGATGAACGTCAGGCAAAGGGAGAGGGAAAGGGCCAGAGGCGAGATGAGGTGAGGCAAGAAGAAGGCGGACTTACATGGGGTGGAACGCGAGCGCGTTTACGGGCCATACGTGGTCGACATCATCGATCGTCTGTCGGTGGCATTTGAACGCATACTTCTTCTCCTGCGCTTGCGGACTTGGGTCGAAATATTCGACTGCGATACGTCCCTCCACGGAGCCTGTCGCATATCCTGCCAAGCACCCATTTCCGATGAGCATGTTAAGTTGCAAAAAACTTCCATGCGCCCGCCTATGCATGTGCAAGGCTGCAGAGCGGGAAGATGTTGAAGCGGACTAACCTTGTCCATCCGACATGCACGCGAGCGCGCGCGTCATGAACTTCAAGCTGCTCTCTCTCGTCTGCGCGGGCGAGTCCATTTTTCGGATGTCGTAGATGTGGAATAGGCGGCTCGCCATCGCAACGACGAGGATATGGTTTACGAGGTCCATATTGTACACGCGCTCGGGGAGGTCGTGCGAGGACTGCTGCTGATTTGAAGCGCGCGGGTCCCAGAAGCGTACCGTCCGATCCCAGGAGCCCGTGATGAGGACGTCTACACGACGGGTAAATTTTTGAAGGGGCGGGTGAGGAAGGAGAGCGAGAGAAGGAGGAAGGGTGCTCACTTTGGTCTCGTGAATAATTCATGCTTGAAATCGCGTCGGAGTGCTGGCCTAGGTGGTTGATCTTCTCGCTCTCGAGGTCCAATCTGCGCGATTACCAGCGTTAGTGAGCAACACAATCCACGCACACAATGATGAGATCTCACTCCCGGACCGAAGTATCAAGTCCTCCGCTATAGCCATGGGTCGCGTCGGAGAAGCAGCACGCTAGGACGGCCGCTCGGTGGTCATACTTGGACTTCTGCTCATTCGTCGCGATGTCATAGAAGCGTACTGTCTAGGGGGAAGATGATGTCAGCACATCACTCGCGAAGCTTCCTGCAGCCAATGCGATCCAATGCCCCTACCCAAGCGAGACCATTGTCTTCTCCCCTTGTCTCGCATGTGAACCAATGAATGAACGCAACATACCGTGTCCCAAGATGACACCAATAAATGGGAAGGACTTGTTGGTGAGAATCGAACGGAAGACACGCTATCGAATGGAGGCGACGCGAGTTCGATTTGGTCTGCAAGGCAAAGAACGTTCATGTCCGACCGCATGACATAGGACTCGCGGGGAATGAGACGCACCAGACATCAACCACAGCGCAATGCAAGAACAGCGTCAAAACAGGATCCAGGAGCAGAACAATTGCACGAGCTGGTTGTGGATTTGTCGGCCTGGAAAGTAGAATGAGCGCAAGGTCCGGTCCTTGGATTTGGCGGCTGTGCCACTGCTCTGTTTGCCTCTCTGTTTACCTATGTTAGGATCCGAAGCTGCTGCAAAACAAACGCTAGCTATATGTCCCAATTTGGAAAGTCCAGAAATCGCACTGCTGAGCGAGTCTCCGCAGGGACCCATGCCATCCTCACAAGCCCCTATGTCCCAGGTACTCATCCTTGAAGTTATGATCACGTTTAAACTATATATACCATGAAATTTGTCCGATAGAACCGCTGGCAGACGGCGAACAAGGCCAGGAATGCCAGTAGTACTACACACGCAACCATCACAGACCGTGAGCGTACAGTATAATACATATGAGATAGGGTATATTTGTGTGGTAAAAGTCATCCCCAGAAGACTATTAGCACAGCGGGGAGCCTATCAGACTGGAGCGAGCTGCACGACGAAGACCTCGCCTTGTCTCCCGGTGGGAGACATCTCTGCACTGCTGGCTTGACGCAAGCCAACAAGCAAACGCCTATCTCCCAAATAGTCGATCCGTCTTATGCCGTGCTGGACATTCTTCTCGTAGCTTTTAGGGTCGTTGCGCAGCCTCTTCTCGAACGCCCGTCTCAGCGACTCGCGGTGCGTTGGCTCGAGCTCGTCAAACTCGCGCGGCTCAACGGACGTCCGCAGAGCCCTGTAAAGGCCGTATAGCACGTCCGCGAAGGTCAGGTACGGAAGTGGCCTGGATGTCCACACGGGATCCTCGGCTGGGGTGATCTCGACGCGGACAGGCAGTCCGGGAAACGTGAGGACCATCCTCCTAAGGAGCAAAGGGCTTCCTTTGGCACTACCGCGTACTGCACATCTCGCGAGGTCGTCCTGCGCGAGCTCCCGCTTCCACTGTGAGCCCGCAGTGCCCGGCTTTATGGCATTCGGGTGGTCCATAACATCCCAGTGTAGCGAAGGCGGGTGAGATGAGCGGATGGGTGCCGCCAGCAATGGATCAATAACAGGACCGTCGTCGGGCGATGTAACGACGAGTGTGGGGTAACTGAGCGGATGAGGTACTACGGGTGGAGAGAGACGCCGCTGCCACGAAGGATACTCAGGGGGCCGCACGATCTTTGGAGGACATTGCGCGGAGGGAAATTGTGGAGGAGTAGAGGGACCTGGAGACGACGAATCCCAAGACACTGTTGAGGACGCGGGGGACGGTGTGCGTGGAGGGACGTTCGCGAAGCGGACCTTCTTTGCTGTCCTATCCATTGTGGAGGAGTACCGAGGGGTATTGGACAACGTCGGAATGCGATCGTACAGTATATAGGAGGAGAGAAACGGGGAGGCTGAGTGGTCGTTGGGGATAGGAAAGCAAGGAGAAGCACCCTGCCTTTTCGAGGTTTATATAGTTCCGTGAACGTGACCTAAGAACTTCCTCTCCCGGCTGCGCATACATTGATACACTGACTCGGGGTGCGACCTCGTGTGTACCGAACTTTCCTGGCCTTCTGCTGATCAGCCCCCTCCCGCATACACAGCCAGCGCCGCGGCGAGTGGTGCGCCCCGCCCTGGACGAAGCATGACGCCATGCTCAGACGTGCACATCGCACAGCGTCCGACCACGGCACCGCTTTGTTTAACGAAATGCGCCTAATAGTGCCACTTGAGCGATGCCAACCACAACGACCGCGCGAGCGTACCTGGGGGGAGCAGCAAGAGCACGTCGGAAGCCGACGTGCCCCGACGTGCGCTGATGGGAACCGCCCGACGGCGTCAATGTGACTTCCCAACAAGTCCCATCACAGCCGTCCGTATCCGCCCGCAGACGGAGGTTACGCTCTACTCATGCATCGCCCGAACCACAACAAATGCATGCGATGACGTGGAATTTTGCGCAGCTCTAGGGACCCGGTTTGGGCATGCGCTGCCTGGTTAAGACTCACTCAACCTTCTACCACAGAAGCCACGCCGCCATCTCTCCCAGCGGCACCAGTGTTGTTACGGGTCAAGTCAAGGGTCATGACTTTTTGTCAATGGGTGACCGGTCACCGAGTGACCCGGTCATGACCGCTTGTCAAGGGTTAGCACGTGATATCTCCGGGGTGTCCGAGTGTGCTGATGGCAGCATGGCGGGCGGCAGTCTTGTGGTTGTGCTTGGGCCCAGGCGGTGCTCATTGTCGTACCTCGCAGAAATGTTCCCTGATGGCACGCCTGGCTCCAATGTGTGGCATGGGGCGTGGGACGATGAAGGATTGAGTCGCAGTTGATGATAGCTGTAGGGGATACGGTACTCAGTCTCATGGGTCGCCTCATTTTCTCTATCATACCGTTTCCTACCACTTGCGCTGGCGGAAAACATTCAACTTACGAATGAGATTTGGAAGTGTGGGACATACACCCATGCTCGCAGGTTGTG